GAGTGTAGCTAAGGCTGGGGCTGTAAAAGAAGCAAGCAAGAAAGTTTAGTAATGAATCCAACTGGAATAGGTTCTCCTCTAAAAAGCTCAGCCTCGGATCACCATTGGTAGTTTTCTACACTCTAAGCCAGAGTGCAGGCAGTCAACAGTATGACCCAGAGAAACACACACCCAAGAAGCTGGCTGAAACAACCATCAGTGATTGCTTTAATGAACCAGCTCCACTTGGTCGTACAGTGAGCGAGGTGTGTGCTCAGGTGGCCGATGGGGAGCAGGCAGCCTTTACCAAGACAGTCACTGCATCTCAGGTGCTCTTGCAATGACTGGCAAGCAAAGCAGTGATGTTAACGAAGCAGCGATGGGATATTTACCTTATGGTTACTTTTCAGGAATTTACTTAAAACACTGGGTTGATGTAGGTATGAAAATGCCACATAGCAAATTACATGAATTTGAAACATATATCTACAATAAAAACTGAAAGTTTCAGGTTTTCCTGTGGTTACGAGCCTGCAAGCCATTCCACACAGGCAGATCTTTGTGTCCCTGATTAACCTCAGTCAACTAACTTAAACAGGGCTGTGTCTGATTAAGGTCCACATTTGCAAGCTTCAGAAAACACTTTGTATAAAAATTTGGTTGTTGGCCAACCCTGATTGCTGCATGTAAGTTACATCTGATAGGAGCAAAATGTGTCCGTTCATGAGAATTTAGACTGAAATTTCCTTAGAGACCCGGACAGCACTGTTTTTCTTGTTGCTTTTGTAGTCACTGCTTCAGTGTAATTACCCTTTTCTTGCCAACATCAAAGTGGAGTGGGGGAGAGGTTATTTTTCAAAAGACATGATAAATCCCCTCGCCTCTGACTTCTGAAGGCTTCAGTTTATGACTCACTATGTCCACAGTGAAATGAAGTTGTGATCACAGCTCCAGACCCAATCCAACACACATTGAAATCAATGGGAGTCTTTCCGTTGACTGCAATGGAAGCTGGGTCACGCCCTTAGCAGACATTAGCTGTGCACATAACAAAACCACCCTCCAGTTTTGGATGGCAGAATATATGGTCAGCCTGGAAACACCAGGGATCCCTGAGGTCAGAGATTGTCTGCAACAAAAAGCTAATGCAGGAAAAACCAACAGAGAAATGCTTCAAGTGCACCTGTCTGCACTTTGCCTCTTCCTAGCCCTATCAGCCCAGACGAAACTGTGTCCAGAGCAAATATTTATCAAAAATGTAAAAAGAGCAGATCTTAGCAAAAGCCAAAATCTGGCCCAGAGCAGAAAATGTAGAGTAATTATTCAATCTTAAAATAAAGTTTTCAAATAAAATAAACATAAGCTTGAAGAAATGAGCTCAGTACAACTTAGAAGCTCGAAAAGACTTGCATCAGACTTTGTAGCGCAGTTTTAAGTTTGTCAAACATGAAGGTCAACCTAGGACTCCTAAAAGAAGGAGAGTATAAGCACAGCCAGTGTCCGACTCTAATGTTGTATGTTAGCAGACCAGCAGCGAACAACTGACCATATGTTGCCTTTAACATTCTTCATATGGCTCCTATATGAAAATAGTAATAAAGGAAAAAGCTTACAATGAGGGAAAAACTAAGCTTGAAAATGAAACTCATAAACCAGTTTTAATAGTGTTTTGGGACTGTCAGAGACAGGACTGAGGAAGAGCATACACTCTGGAAAGATGAAAACAATGACTATGTGATGTTGGTAAGAAATTGATCACTGTCAGGAAAAAAAGCCAGGAGCAAAAAGGAATATTGATCTTTCAGTAGCAGAGATCATTTAGTTTGGATGATACAGCATTTGTAGGCTGGTCTTCACCTTGGCTTATACGTCCCCAGGACTGACGCACTATTATTTGAACAATTTTTAGGTGGGAGAGGTGGAGGTACAGGCAGACCTGCCACCCTCACACTGACAGATATGTCTTGACATGGTGTCTGAGAGTTACTGACGCTCGGTACCCAGAAATGTCTCACTCAGGAAGGCCCCTCTGGGCTGATCATTTCTTCCACCCAGCCTGTCAGGGCCTGAGCTTGGCAGGTTGAGGAGAAAAAAAGAGGCCCTTCTTCAGTCAGCTTTTCTCTAGGCTTGTTTTTCAGCAAAATCAAGAAATGCACAATGACACAGGGATTTTGTTGAGTTAGTAATGGGCTTAACAGACACATACTTTATAAACTAAGAACAGGGAGGTCCTCCGGGGCTGGGCAGCCTGTGCAATGTGAATAAGTACGCTGTACCACAGGTAATAGATCCTGACACCCTGCACTGACTTAGCACTTGCAGGAACCGAGAATGAGCAGACAACTTGTAAAACGTGACTCAAATTGGTTAGCAAATTACTCGGCTAGAATCCCCCCCCCTCCCCGACATTATTCCCATGTTTGAGTGTAATCTCTTCATTATACCTCATTATACCTGTTATACCTCACATTTTGGGCTGTATTTTTGGACTCACTTCCCATTCCATTTAAAAAACAGAACAGCTGGGAGAGAGGAAATATCTCCGATGGTAAAAAACTGACACTGTTGATCATAAATCTCTCGCTAGAGTTATATATATATATATGCGGAGCACGGATATAAGTCATGCCGGTGACAGGTTTTCCAGCGCCGGTTATT